GCTCTATTCTCCATAAAAAAACTCTAAGGCATATATAGTAAAAAACCATCAGTTTAAAAGATATTTTAATTTAATTAAACTTTCATGATACTTACCTTTATACTTACCTTTATACTTACCTTTATACTTACCTTTATACTTACCTATACTTACCTCTTAAATCAGTCATATTTTGAGGATTTAATCATTTTTTAACAGTTTACTTAATTCTAAGGAATTGAGGAATGTACAAGGTTGGCTATTAATTATTATTGTCTTATTTTCTCGTTGATTTTTTTATAGTATTAAGAAATATTTAAAAATTTGTATTATTTCAAGTAAAGAATACTTTATATTATTAATTTTTTTCACTAATATTGAGAACTTATGGAAATTAATTTTGTTTTTTTAAATTGAACTATTTTATTATATCAATAGATTTAAAACGTTATTCTCCATAAAAAAATAATAAGCATTTATAACAAAAGCCCATTAATTTAAGAAATATTTAAATGTTTTTAAATCTAATGAAAAGATATTGGAAAAAGGTATTGTATGATAATGTAAGTTTGGAATATAATTAAATATTTCTTATATTATAATTTTTTGGGTATAAGTATTTTTTTTTTACATGAAAGAACATATTATATTATATACATAACATATATATTACATCTACTATTACATCAAAATGTATATATAATTATATTTAAAAAAAAAAATAATTTGAACGTCATATTATCTTTATGTATTCATTTACAAAACCATGAATTAATTGAAAATTTCCCCTCTGAAATCATTTAATTTTTATTTCTAATATTTTTACTAAGGAAAATTAAAATGATACCAAGTGAGACATTCATATTTCTAAATTGATTATAGATATTAAATGTGATATTTTAATAATATTTCAGTCGTTATACATATTAATTGACTGTCGTGAATTATTTGTATAAACAATTAAATTAACAATGATTTGTGTTTACATATAAAGAAAAAAATTTCGCAAAATAAGACATATTTCAAATTAAAATCGATAATGAGGAAGCTAATCAGTAAATTCACTGCATCTTCTTTGATGTAGTGATGGATAGAAATCGCTTACGAATTATTGTTGATTGCAGAAATTCTGTGGAAAAATCCGAAGGAAATGCCGATACATGGTGTAGCATAGGCGTTCTATATCAACAGCAGAATCAACCTATGGATGCTCTGCAAGCATATATATGCGCTGTACAATTAGACAAATCACACTCAGCTGCGTGGACTAATCTGGGCATTTTGTACGAAAGTGTTAGTCAGCCAAAAGACGCTCTAGCTTGTTACGTCAACGCATCCAGGTAAAGTAAAACGACTCAGTGTTGACTCAGTGCGCAAATATCTCATTGTTATATTAACAATGTTGTTTTTTTGGAAATTAATATTGTATATACAACGAGATAGAATGAGATATAAGAGAAAGATTTTTTTTTTCGTTATTTATGATTGTAAAATTGCCTTCCATAGTAATATTTAAATTTAAATTTGATTAACAAATTTTTTATAATACCGCAAATCATTTAAATTTATTATTATTATTAATTTTAGAAATTGGTGTTTCAATAATTTAATTTTTTTCAGCAAGTAATATTTCTTATTGCTTGAAGAAATAAATAAGAATAAGTTTTGACAAAAAAATTTGGATTTGGAATATATTAAAGAAAATTATGATTTTAGAAGAATTTTAATTTATATTGTCAATATGTTAATTTTAAATATTTACTTTGAAATATTAATAATATAAGATAAATATTTATAATATAAGATAGAGAAAAAATTTACTATAATATAAATAAAAATATATATTTATGTTTATTATTTATATAAATGTTTAAAAAGAGAAATAAAAAACTCAAAATCCTTATGACATATCAAAAATTAATTTAATAATTTTATAAAAAATATATTTTATATATTAAATTTAAAAAATTAAAAACGACTTTTTTCATTAGGAAATAATTATACAATTTTTATTTTTTATTTTTTCATTCCTCTTTAATATATAATTATATATACATAATTGATATAAATTTTTATAATAAGAATTAATTTTTAAAATTTGGAGCATTTCGTACAAATCATTTAATTTTTATCCTTTTTCAATCTTTTTTCTATTTTATGAATCTTCATTGTCTTTAACAAAAAATAGTCATAATTATATAAATTATATAAATTATATAAATTAACTCTGTACAATTAAAAAATTTATCCCGTAGAATAAGAAATTATTATTGTTATTTCGATTTCAAGCGTTTCATTATTGAGTTTTTATTTTTTTTAACTCTTTTACTATTTTTTCCATTTATATGCTTTGTCAAAAAATATTATATAATGCAGTTATTAATATATATTAATATATAAACGTGTATTCCATTAAATTGATGATAGTAATTTCGTTGATTTATATATTAGAATTATCTAATCAAATATACAGGGTATCTCATACAATTAATCTATCTTCCAATTTAATCGCAGAGCAAGGTATAAAAACATTGTATAAAAAAGTTTGTTAAAATTATTTCTCCGCGATATTATCCGTGCGATACCCTATATATGTATATATATTTTTTATTTTATATTGTAGCCTTAAGAACAGATTAAAAAAAAAATCATTTTATATCTTTTTTTATTCTTATAAAAAAATTTTTAAGAAACTCTTCAGAATAATTCCCTTTAACTCCTAATATGATTGACTATGGATAGCTATAATTAAGTTATATTTGACTCATATTTTCAAGATTTTTTCAAGATATATTTATTAATTTATTAAATTAAATTATTAGATTATATAAATAATAGATAAAAATTTATTTAATATATTTTACTGTCAAATCATAGTATATAATTAACTTTTTTCAAATTTATTTTTCATCATTATTATTTCTGTAAGTTTATTATATTATTTCTATAAAATTGCAAAAGTTATAAATGTAATGATTATAAAAAATGAAAAATACATTATAATAAAAATTGTATCATTATAAGATTATGAAAAAAATGATATATTAAATATATTATATTTAAGCATATAACAATTATAGACAGTATTATATTATAGACAGTATAAAACAATTAAAAATATATCAAATGATGATAAATATAAAATTGAATTTTATTATTTCAATTCATTATATCTTTTATACTATGATTTTGACTGATATTATGTATGTATTCTCTTTTTTTTTCATTCAAAATTCGAATTTTAAATAATCCATTTATATTGTTTATACAAGAGAGTGCATTATATCATTTGATGCGCTTATCTATATATCATTATTAACTTGATAAATATATATTATATTATAATACATACATCGATTACATCAATCCATATGAATTAAATTCTTCACCAACTTTTCTATACAAATACTCTTTCTTTACTATCAGTTTTTTCCACTTTGTTTCTTTATTAAAAGATTACTGTATTACTAATGTACATTTCTTCAATTCAAATAAAACTTTTATTCCTCCATTTATTGCTAGTGCTATCGATCCATACCATCGTAAGAATTTTTAATTTGGAGTAAAAATTCCTTCATATTCAAAACGAACTTCTATATTTTTTTTATATGCATTTATGTATTCATGTATTCATTGTATACCTCTTGCACAGTTTTATGCTGCATAGTGAATCGTCCTGCTGAATGGCATATTGCGCACATTACGAGAAAAATGAGTAAGTCGAGGACAGGTCAGCGTTCAAAAAAGAAAAAGAAAAAAAAGAGAAGGAAAAAAAGAAGAGAAAATAAAAGAAGAAAAATGAAAAAGCAAAAAAAAAAAATGAAAGCTCACCTGTCTATGGAAGTTGAAACATCATGTAGTAAAATAGTTTCTTTCTTTTATAGGGGTAATAACAACACACCAAATTGCACGGGTTCACTGGTGGGCCTGGGTGGTGCTAAATCAGGTGGTAATACCCCGATGAACCCATCGCTACAACAGCGGATCAACTTCCTCCAAAGTCATCTGAGCCAAGCACCAATGCCTTCCGTTGCCACTAAGTAATTTGATTTTTTATTGGATATTCTATATTTTTCGCTGAATAATTTTCCTTTAGATTGAAAGAAAAGATTATCAATAGAAATATACATATGCATTTATTTTATCAATATACATAATGTTTTTATTTTTGTGAAGGAGGCGGCAACTGCCGTCTATAGAAGAGGCTTGGAACTTACCCATTAGCGCTGAGATGTCTAGCAGGCAGCAACAGCAACAACAAACACCCACTGGTCCGGGTTATAAATATGGTTCCACTCCTTCTGGACCACCACCTCCTTATCCTCAAGGACAAGGACAGAATCTTAATACAAAAAGATTTAAGGTAAAGATTTTTCATTAAAAATAATTGAGAAAAAGTGATATAAATGTCAACAAATTTTTACTTGAAAAAATTTAATTAAAATGTATTCGAATATTCAATTAATAAAATATAAATTTATAAAAAAAACATATATTATATATATATATCATTAAGATATATTCAGAAAATATAGATAATCATATCATTGTAGTTTCTTTTTATGATGATTCCGACAATTTAATCTGTTGCCGAGATACAGATTCAAAATGTTTATAGAACAGAATTACATACATAGAGATTAATGGTGCGACCTAGAGACCTACATTTTCTTCCTGGAACTGTGTACTGTATATCCCAAGAATCGCGTCTGTTACTTACCTGGAGTTTAGGATAGGTTAGTGAGATTAAGTGCAAAGGAAAGATTTGAATAAGCAACAAGAACGAAAATAATAAATAATGAAAAATTAATCTTTTCTTTATGATATCTTGAAAACTGGAAGTAATGTCGGAATAAATAAAAAAGTATTTTAAAAAAAAGATTCTATATTTCTAATAATCTTTTATCCATTGACCAAAAATTATTATCTTCAAACTTATATTTTTAATAGTTTAAAGTTTTCTGAATTTTAATATACTTTATTTGTCTTATATTATATATAAGAATAAAATTATATCACTTTTTCACTGCAATTAATTACTTCTTATTGATTTTAATTATTTAAATAAATTATATTTATATAAATTTATATAAATTATTTTTAGCCGGGAGAAGAACCAATTTCTCCAGGTTCACAACAGAGACCACCACCATTTTATCTCACGTCTCAACAACTGCAGATGTTACAATTTCTTCAACAAAATCATGGAAGTTTAACGCAACAGCAGCAAGGTTTGCTTGCACAATTACAACAACAATACAGATGTATGCAACAACATCAACAACAAATTAGATTACAACAGCAACAAGCTGCTCAAAGAGGTTTAAGGCCAGGACAACCTGGTTATCCTACAGGTTACAATCATACACAACTAGGACAACCTGGCGTGATCAAGAATTACGGGATACCTCAGCAACCGGTATCGTACTTTTCATTTTAAAATCTTTCTCATTTCTTTATTTTCCTAAAGTAATAATTATATTATATTTTAAATAATTATTTTTTGTAACAGTTGCAGCAAGGTGGAACTGTTGCATTACAAACAGGGTTCTCAGATTCTAATGTCGGTTATAACACGGCAGCAACTGGGAACAGTCAAACACCAGGAATGCCTTACAAATCTGCCTCTGATTCAAACTATCCTCAAAGGCAATTGACATCCGGCCAATACAACCAATACCAGCCTAATCAATACACTGCCCAGGGTTACACACAAATATCGTCCACGACGAGTAATTATCCCGAAGGTTCCGCGGGAAATAAAGACCTGGGAGTAACAGATCAAGAATTACAGGCTTTGTTATCACAAAAAGATATTGCGACGTCTTTGGCGGAGGATTTATTAAAACATTTTGGTTCGGAAGATTTAGATGTAAAAGAAGAAGCACCGAGCATCATGAACAATGGCACGTTAAGTTCAGGTCCGTTCTCACCATCGAATCTCGAAGAGAGTACAGAGAAAATTAAAGAGGTAAAACTAGAGAAGGTTGAGGATAGTCAACCTTCGTCTACGTCGAAACTCGAAACATACGAAAAAAGCAATACAAAGACATCGACTCCAGTAGTTGAGACGGTGAAATGTGAAGCGACCTCGAGTACAAATAAAATCGAATCAGTTACTCGGATTGAACCGGTGCTTAAATTGGAAAGCTTGTGTGAATCACAACCTGAACAAGAACTTAGTATAGATATGGATTCTAAGGGTATTATAGAAGCATGTAAAGGTCAGGGATTAAAAGGTGTACCAAATTGCTCCATACTGAGTGATCGTTCACCTCCACCTGCCCCACCTGATCCTCCAAATCAGAGACTAACCAAGGAACAACTCTTACCCCCAACTCCTAGCGTTTATTTAGAGAATAAAAAAGACGCGTTCAGTCCACAACTCCAAGAGTTTTGTTTAAAACATCCGATAGCTGTGATTCGCGGTTTGGCGGCCGCTTTGAAATTAGATCTTGGATTGTTCTCAACGAAAACTTTGGTAGAAGCAAATCCAGATCATGGTATCGAGGTGAGAACACAAATGCAACAGACCAGCGATGAGAATTGGGATCCTGTCATGGGCAGAAAAGTTTGGGGTTGTATCAGTCACAGAAGTCACACAACTATTGCGAAATATGCGCAATATCAGGCGTCAAGTTTTCAAGAAAGCTTGAAAGAAGAAAGGGAGAAAGCTCAAGGTATACATACCTCGAATTTATCCGATTCAGATTCGAAAGATAGTACTGGTGCTGTTAGAAGAAAGAAAAACGCTTTTGGATTGGCGGGTCGACCGGGTTCGAAGATGTTGCGATTTGGGACCAATGTAGATTTATCAGACGAAAGAAAATGGAAACCGCAGCTTCAGGAGTTAATGAAACTACCGGCATTCGCTAGAGTCGTTTCGGCGGGAAACATGCTCAGCCATGTTGGCCATGTTATTTTAGGAATGAATACTGTTCAGTTGTACATGAAGGTATGTAATATTTATTTATTATTATTTAATAGATCATTGCATTTTTTTACTATTTTTGAAAAATAGATTCAAAGCAGAAATATTTCTATAACAATTTCAATAAAAATTTCAATATTTACAATATTTAAAAAAATTTATAATTTTTGTAACAAACTTTGTGAAATTTCATAATTAGTTTTTTAAACATTAATCTTTAAGGATTATTTTTATTTGTTTTTATAGGTACCTGGTAGTAGAACACCTGGTCACCAGGAAAATAATAATTTTTGTTCTATTAATATCAATATTGGACCAGGAGATTGCGAATGGTTTGCAGTACCTGATGCATATTGGGGAATAATTTGCTCACTTTGTGAGCGAAATAATATCAATTACCTTCATGGTAGCTGGTGGCCTTCTTTAGAAGACCTGTATGAGGAAAACATTCCTGTATATAGGTTTTTACAAAGACCAGGTGATCTCGTTTGGGTTAATGCGGGTAAATAAATTGTTAATAATTATAAATTATTCAACATTAACTAAATATATTGTATAATAATTCGCAATTTAAAGAAACAAAAAAAATTATTTTTTAATAATTTTTAATATATATTTTTATTTAAAAGTTTTATTTAAATTATCAAAATTAATAAATAAAAATATTTGATTACAAACTATCAAAATAAAATTTATTTTACTATTTTTTAGGTTGTGTACATTGGGTTCAAGCTGTTGGATGGTGTAATAATATTGCATGGAATGTAGGTCCTTTGACTGCTCGACAATATCAACTGGCAATCGAACGTTATGAATGGAATAAACTACAATCATTTAAATCTATAGTACCAATGGTACATTTATCCTGGAATTTAGCCAGAAATATCAAAGTATCAGATCCCAGATTATTTGAATTAATTAAAAATTGCCTATTAAGGACAATGAGACAGTGTTGTTTAATATTAGAATTTGTGAAAAGTAAAGGTGTAGAAGTTCGGTTTCATGGACGAGGAAAAAACGAAGCATCGCATTATTGCGGCCAATGCGAGGTAAAATATTTTTAAATAAAACTTTTAATTGTTTTGTAATAATGTAATAATATTAGATTTTTAATTTATATAAAAAATAATTACATATTTTGACAAAAGATAAATTGTCAAATACATATTAAAAAATAAATTGCAAATTTACATTTTTTTTCAGATTGAAGTATTTAATATCTTGTTCATAAGAGAACAAGAAAAACGACACGTAGTGCACTGCATGGATTGTGCACGAAAACAATCCCCATCCTTAGAAGGATTTGTTTGCTTAGAAGAATATAGAATGCGTGATTTAATGGAGGTTTACGACGGATTTACTTTACATACCTCTCTAACAACTCCTTCATCAGCTCAGTCTAGCCAATCCTCCTGAGAATACATGCAACACAGATATTTAGACTTCTTAGGCACGTTACAGTGACTTTGATAGTACAATATCTGTGTTTAAAAAAAATCTTTATGATAAGGATTGTTAAGTACCTGAGAGCTATCATGAAGAAAATGAAAACAGATCGAAAAATTTTATATGTTAGACTATAGTAACATCAACATCTGTTTCCATATTAATTTTAAGGTACGCACAATATATGTTATATATGAAAGAATTGAAAATTTTTAATATTCTGACAATTAGTTAGTACTATTTACACAAACTGAAAACTATATTCGATCAATTTTATATTGGATTAATACAAAATCTCCAAAACATTGTTCTAGCTCTCGGGCATAAAAAATTGAAGCTAAGTTAAACGAGAGAAGACTGTGCTTTACTTGTAAATTACTTGATATCATCATTTGCTAAAACTTTGCAATAAGATATAATGGATAATTATCAAACTTGGTCACGTTTCTTATCAGTTTTATATCATGGCTAGAGTCTGAAAAGCATTTAATATTCATTTTTGTCATGAAAGAAAGAAAATATATATGTATATATTTTTTTTTTTTTTTGTTATTTTCTTCATAAATCGCATATTTCGAAATTTTTACGATTAATAAATTGCCAAAGAAAGCAGAAAAAATTTCATATACACGAAAACATCATAGAAATGTTCACTGCCAATCGTGAATATAATAAAAGATTACATTTAGTCCAAAGTGATGAGGGATAAATTGTCGTTAATTATTGTTATGAATTAAGATACGATTGTAAAGTATTGCAAAGCTGCTCAAAACATACTTTTATGTACATTTTTGTATACAAACGGATTGAAACGATTACTACTTTTGAAATTCACGGAGATATTACACTGTTTCGAATGTCTTACTGCCAATGACAATTCAATCTTAATATAGTAATATAACAATTGTGTTTTCACATTTAAGGTAATGTGATCAATACGAGATTGAGATTTATTAAGAATTATTGACCTTTTTTATAAATTCAACAAAAAATATAGAAGTATTCATGATAAATAGTACTTCAAATAAATAAATTATTATGTTATATAAATAAATTAGTGGCTCTAAAACATTTGTACAGTAAAAAATACGGTTTATAATAACGATTTATAAAAACAATATTGACCTCCGTGTTTAAGATGAGAAAAGAATAACATACTGCGAAAAACTTATAAAATGGCGTTTCTCTCTTATAATTTTATTTACTATTATAAACAAAACAAATAAAAAAACGTATAAACACTCAGAACTAGAAATTGGAAATCATTAAATTTTTCTGTCAACAATAAAATAATAAGATAAGAATTATTAATATTTATTAATTGTAAATGAATTTATTTGAATCAATTTTTAATTATATGAAATTATTTCTTGATTTATACAATTTATTCAAAGATAGAGAATAGAATTGTAACTATCGTCTTATTTAAAATATTATTTAATTTAATACAATTGTAAAATATTAGTGCAAATTACAATTTTAACAAAACTAGAAGTAAAATCAGATCAAAATTTAAATAAAGTTGGAGAACGCTGACTATAATGTTTAATAGCAAGTAATCGTATCTTAAAACAAAAAAGAAACGTACCTTCGACTCAGTCTTGTCAATTCACATTGGTGTTTAAAAACGCCAAATGTACGTGCCAGAAAACAAAAAAAAATCTTACCCACCACAAATGTATAAATAATACAATTCTCGTTCCGCCGAAAAAAATGTATTTTCACATACGCATGAGAGAGAGGGAGAGAAAGAGAGAGAAAGTGAAGAAAAAAGCAAAAAATGGTAGATAGTCCATACAGGTTGTAATAAGATCATCGGAGAACGATGTATTTTTGAAAATTCTAGAAAATGCTAGTTCCGCCGAGTTAGTTAATAATAAACGAAAATCGCATTTCTTTTATATGCGTGATAAATTTCAGCGCTGTAATTGCAATATATGTATGTACATATATATATATACATACATTACATGCATATATATCTACATCATATAAAGCAATGGCTGAAATCTAATGCTAATTTCGCCAGTTATCTATGATTATTAATGATGGTCGTACGGGTTCAAAAACTCGTGTCCAAGAGTATTTTAATCCATACACTCTAATGATCTCATTTCATGTAATATTGGCAGTTTGGAATGATAATGATTTCTGCCGATATTTCGAACTGACTTGACAATTTTGATTAACAATTAATAAATTATGTATAAATATATTTAATGTAAAAAAAAAATAAGATAAGATAATGTGAAATGAATTGAAACGGAATGGCTCAAGAGCTTTGCTAAGTAATAACAAACAAATAAATGCAGTCTTTGTGTAGTATTAAGTCTGTCTTGCTGTGACTAATGGCTAATCTGCATTGATTTGAATACGAAATTGAGCAGATTTTCTATAACCGTTTTAATAGTATATGAAAATTTTTTACTAATATTATGCTATTCGACTTTAATAGCTGATGATTTAACATTATCATTATTTTTTTTTTTTCATTAATTGGCAATAAATATACTAATTACATTATACATAAAAATTAATACATTAAAAAATTTTTATTTTTATTTTTATTTTTATGATCTTTAACAGTAATTTAAACTGGGAAATAATATTTTCAAAATACACTTCAAAATAATATACATGATATAAAAATGTCAAATATGTATCTATATGTTATTAATATAAATTGTTATTAACATATATATTAAAATTGCATTATCTAAAAACGGTTTGATTAAAAAAGGTTCACAGCATTGGCAGCTCAAGTTTGTTTGCAGTTGTTTAATTTTTTTTTTTTTTTTTTTTTAGATTCTTCAAATAACAAGTTTTACTTGTTGGTAAATTAATATTATAGCAAGAAATGTACTTCTCTTAATAATAATAAAATATATTATATTTTGTTGCTTACAAGTGGAATACTTGCAATTGAATGGAAAATAATTTTATAAAATTCTAACGAAATAATTTGTATGTGATCATTGATAAAATTGTAAACTTATATCTGAATATTTAAAGATCTTGATGGTAATTATTTAAACATAGAAAGATACATAAATAAGAAAAAATTGTTTTCTTTGGAATGAATTTTTTTAAATTGTTTTTTCAGTATATTTCATGAAAATATGCTGCAATTGCACAGGATGGATTTAGAAATCTAGTATCATAATTGGCAGTATTATAATTAATTAAATTTTTATCATTAAAAATTTAAATTTTTATCATTAAATTTAATTATGATAATTAATTTAAACAAAGATCTCTAGTTCAATAGAGAATAAAAAAATAATCTATTTTTTATTTAAACAATAAAATTATATTTCCTAAATAATATACTAGATTTTTTAACAACCTGCAAAAATGGCATATTTTATAAGTTAAAGGAAAAATATAAAGAAATATTAGAATTGATAAAATATATTATTTGAAATAGTAGACTAGTTAATGTAAGCTTCCAAATACCATTTGTGTTTTAGTTATAATTTAATTGGTTTTTAGATAGTTTACATTCACTAGTCGAAATATATACTATATATGTACATCTTAATATTCTAATATTTTCTTTTATTTAATTAAATTTAAATTACGCATCATTATTCGTATAATGAATTATAAATTTAATTAATGAAAAAAAGCCAGAGAATTTGAGAACAGTAGTTATATTAACTTATCATTTAATAAAATGTAAGTAATTGTAAATATTTGATTTTTGTAAAATCAGAGAATAAGTAGGAGAGCAGAATTATATAACAAATACATCTTTGTAATAATCACTCAGTTGTTTATCCTGCACTATAAGCAGATTTTTCAAAGTCTTGTATTTTGATACTGATCAAGGAATAATGTAACATTGGTGAATTTTAGAAAATTATGCAATTTAGTATTGCGCACAAATGTTAGAAAATTATCAAAAGAAATTAAGAAATTCCTTTGTACTTATTTCATCTTCAGAAATATTTTGAAATTCATAATAAAATGGCGCACATACGAAATTGCGTAAGTATTTCGAAAAACAAAGGAAAAAATAACAAAAACAAAAAATTAAAGGACATACATAAAACGTATTTTCGCTAAATAATGTATGAAGTGTTTAAGTTCTGACTTACCAAATGAAATTAACAAAACAAACATAAAAAGAAATTTATTTTTTCTGTACAACTGACTATAACAAAGAAGAAGTAATATTTTCGAATTCATCTGTAACGTAAAGTGAAATGTAGCAAACCATAGCATGGAAAATGAAAACGAAAAAAATTATGATACCTAATTCACAAAACACGTAGCTTAAAACTTATAAAACTGTATTTTAAATGTGAAAACATTCACTGCCAAATTGTGATAAACAAATCCCACCTTTAAACCGGAGCGTTTTCTTAACTTCTGATCGCATTGACCAATTATTTCCTCCTAAATAGTTACCGTGAATTCTGCACATTCTGATATAATAGTCATCTATATTTTTTCTTAATGTTTAAGATATAATATCGAAGAGAATATAGCGTTGACCAATGCAGCTAGAATCGAAGGAAACCGCTCCCTATTTTAAGTGCGTAGCATCGTAACAAAAAGAAAGAAAAAAGTAAATAAATGAAAAAGGAAGAAAGAAAAAAGATCGTATTGATATTTTTAAACGGGCACGTTTTACTGTTTAAAAAGTACCATCTGGACCGCCTATAGCGCTCTTCTATAATATTGTATGTTTACGTGTACAGTGCCTTTATACCTGAAAAAAGAGACAAAATGAAAAAAAAAAAGAAAGAATAGAAAAGAACATTTTAAAAGAAAAAAAAATACCTTTGCTTTCGAGAAATCAATGTAGATACACAAAACTTCCCTCACTTTAGACACAAGTATATGTAGAATTTTAAAATAGAGAAAATATATGGGAAACATGAGTTTTTTTAGTCTTTCGCATTAATTTCTCGAAAAGTCAAGGCATGCGGTCCCTCCTACGTGTCGCAAACATTCTTCTAATTAGGTTCAGATTGTAATGATTACCTAATTATAATTAATGTAATTAGATTATTATTATGAAGTATGTTGTAAAAGTGTACAGTTTGGATCGGGTGATCCCTTTATGCGGGAGATCATGCTGTAGCTAGCCTTATTATTATCATTACAACTATTATTATCATGAATTATTATTACAGTTAATTAAAATATATTGTGTTTACCATAATAATGTAATATAGAGTTACACAGAGCTCGACTGTGCTGTACATTATGATTATCAACACAAACGCTGCTGCCCTGCAATTATTATTAAATTGACTTTTCCCAAAAATACTATTTGCCACATGATATTTCTTATTTCCTTATAACATATCTACTTAAAATTGAATCAAATTCAACTGAAATAAATTCAGAAAATTTTTCATCCATTATATGGAACAAAAATTATTTAATTAATTATTTTTAATTATTAAAAAGTCTTTTTAATTATTAATTTATTTATTTTTATTCCAACGAATGTGTCATATTATAATTCAATTAATCTTTTATTATATACTTTTATTATGTATATATTTTCTAATTTTATTATTATTATTCTCTGCATATGTCAAATTATTATTTACAGATATTGGACTCTAATTATCTTAAATAAAAAACAGAAAATATAAAGAAAAAATAGAAAATTAAAAATTTATAAGAATTCATTAATACGTTGAACATAAAATTGATTAATTGATAAAAAAAGATTATCAATTAATTCTATAATCAAATCTATTTTCAATTATGCAACAATTGTATAATTTTAATTATTTAAAAACAAGAAATATTTTATATAATTTTTTTTTAAAAAAATAAATTTTTTTTTAAGAAGATTTATTTTAATTTAAGTATAAATAGATATATAATGAAAAGTACAATGAATTAAAAACACAATTATCAATAAAAAGTCAATAAGTAATAATTTCAAGGATACTTCAAGAATATTCAATATTATTTTGAATAATTTTATAATTAAAGTTTTATTTAATGATTTCATTAAAAAATTTTAGTTTTAAAAATTAAATTGCAAAATTTAAATGAATTTTATTAAGGCTACTAATAAATGGAAAATAAATAACTCTGAAGTATACTTGAAACTTTCTATTAATGAATTTATTTGTACGCACTTTGTTCTTTTTTCTTATTTAATTCAAAATACTTTTTGAAATATATCCATTTATAAAATAAAATGTCAAATGTATTTTATAATTTTCTATAAACAATAATTATCGTACTTTTACATTTATTAAAATATTTTTAAATAATGGAATAAAACAAAATATTTCTATATAATTGCTAAGAGAAAAAAGTGAATTGAATAATTTAACAATAGTAGAGATACAAAATGGAATTAATTTACATTGATCTAATTATAAATATTACTAGAACATATTTATTAATATATTTCCAATTTTTCAAAAAAGAAAATATATTAGGTAATATATTAACTATAAATGTTCATTGTTTTTTAAATTTTAATACTGGAAGAATCATCTAAAATAGAATATCTAATGATTCTTATATTAAAATGGAGAAAAAATATTTTAAGCAATAATATAGCAGCAATAAATTACATTCGAATAAAATATCACATTATTTTTTTTTCGAATAAACTTTTCTGAGAAATATTCAAAATATACAATCTTTTTTGTTTATGAATAAACAATTTTTTATAACACAAAAAAAAATGTTCAAAATTATTAAAAGTAGATTTAAATAAATGATTTGATATTATAATTTAAAATAGTTTTTCTGAGCAATAAAATAATAATGTAATAATAATAAAATAATAACAATAATTATTAATAATGTGAGTAGTTAATAATGTGTAGTTATAAATAATGAGAAAATATAAATGTGAATTCATTTAAATCTTTTCTCCAACGAATAATTTTTAAAAAATTTTTTATCTTTAAAAATAAAGAAATCGTTCATTTTATCTTACCTTATACGTTAACTGCTAATTTAAAGGTGAACCGTTTGTACATACATAACTAGGCACCAACGAATCAAAAAAAATTTTTTGACATAAATATGATACTTATGTCCTTCTAAGTGCTCGCATTTGCTTGCGACGTGCTTGAACGACACCATAAACAACTGCTGCAAGACTTCGGCACCTTGCAGTGTGCTTAGTCGAACTTTCTTGTTGCAAAGTCCCTTTGCCCAATACGAAATACGTCTCCATTGTTCCTTTTCCTTTAACTTCGATAAGTCCTCTCTTCTGTGTCTGATATCCTCTCGATTCCAAAAACTGTTTAAATATTATAAATCAAATATGTAATTTGCATATATAACAAGTAATCTTTTTCTTTTAAATGTATATTCTTTAATTACTCTAGCAATATCCTGTGGAACTTGTATTTTTCCCATAACACCTGTAGAGTCCATACGGGAAGCCAAGTTTACCGTGTTACCCCAAATATCGAATACAGGTTTCCGAGCACCGATTACACCGCCTACTAATGGACCACAGCTTATACCTACTCTTAAATCAAAATTATTGAACGAATGTATGTTTACGTCTTCAAGACGGAGTCGCATAGCTACTGCATAATCCACTAATCTACATAAATGCTCCATATCATCTTTATTTTTATCCTAGAAAAATATTAAAGAGATGATAAAGTTAAAAATTGATCAAAGTTTATTATTGTATTACATAGAATATAAAAAAAAAATTATATATCACTTATAATTACATTTTGACAAGGATTGAGACCAGAAGCTGCCATATAAGTAGCTCCAACTGTTTTTATCTTTTCTATGCAATGAAATCGATTTTCATCCAGGAGTTCGTCAAAATCAGCTAAAAATTATTAAAATATATATTTATTATTGAATAAATTATGTTAGTAATAACAAATATTTTTAAATATCCAAAACAACAACAAAATTTTTTTCAATTATAAATATGTTACCAATAATTTCATTCAATAAACGTATACACTCCATCCCTTTATTAACATCTTCTGAATAAAATTCTGTAAAATTTGGCACACTAGCGAACATCACTCCAACTTTATCACGTGATTGAGAATATAACTCCTATAAATGTATTAAGAAAAAATTATAATATTCATTAAATTGACAAACTCATTAACAAATTAAAAATGTAAAATTATACCTCAGGTGCTCTGTCTTGGGTTAAAAAATGATGAGCTACGTGATCTGGTAATATATTTTTCAATAGTTGCATGTTATTGTGCCGTGATTCAATCATGTCACTTAACTCTCTTTCAGCTTGCTGTTTCCAAAGGAAATCTAATCTAGATGTTACTTCTACTAATCTACCGTGATATGTAACCATCACCAAAAATACTAATAGAAACGTAAGCATTTGTGCCGAGAGAGGTATCGACATCCTAAAAATACAAATAATTATATCACTATATCATTATTTTAACAATAAGTTTTTTGACATTTTTAATATCAAATATAAAAAATATATATTTTCAATATTTTATTATTTTAATCTTTTTTGAATTATGTTATAGAAGAGTAAATTTCATTAACGCCAAATATTAAACATGACTTACGAATCCTCTTCATTAGGAATCGTAAAAAAATCCTTGCAAACTACGAGAATCAATACGGCATAAACGGACACGATAATTGTAGCCAATGCCGTCTTTACTAAATAATACAATTTCAATGCAGAAGCTAATGCGATCAAACATAAGATCCACGTGAATACAATGTATTCCGGTCTAACACAAGTCCCCAAAACGATGTCCTCGTCATAGTCCAGCGAATACAAAGATTCTACTTGAGGTTTTGTTTCCGATGTCGACAGGATTCTTCCCGAGATGATGTCTTCATCCCTACGGTTTCAAAAAAATCTGCTATAATTTCTTCCAATCACGAATCTATGGTATTGTTCGTATCTATAAAACCTGAAAAACTCTTTTCTTCTTTGACCTTTCGCCAGCCTAGCCTTCGCCTTGATAAGATTCGTTCGTAGTTCTTCGCCATTAGAACTATGGGATACAGTTTGATTCTCTTTAGAAGAAATGTCCTTTTGTTCTTCTGAAGACTCATCGCGAAGGGCAGCTTCCAGAAATGTCAAAATAAATTGATCAAGACCAACAGTCGGCGCTACCAATCGCTCTGGTTGCAACGTTGGATTTATTAATGGTTGCTGTTGTAATTCCAGAGCTTCAGGATATTGTCGAATCGACATTGGACACGCTAAAACACTGACGATCGATGTCAAAGCCATCAAACTAATTACGCTGCATATGAAGATTGTTCGGTGCTGCTTGTTGTGAACTAACATCGAAGAAGCGTGTTGTAAATATGTTGGCAAAGTTTTGAATTCTTCCGCCATCACTAGAATGGACGATGCTACTAAAATGAGCGTCGTCAACAGTAACGAAGCCAAAAGAATAATGCAGCTATATGAGAGAAATAATATAAATTCGAATTAATATGTTTTTAGTTTCTTGATAAATATCACAATTTATAATATTTAATTCTCTAAAACGTATTTCAAAGATTAGAAAATTATTTTTAATCATTATATAAAAATGATAATTAAAATAGAATTTTTAAAAATATAATTACTTACTCTGACAATATTACTGCTTGACAAATTGCAATAAATATCCATACGACAAAACAACAAATCATATTGGATTTAAACATATCCTCGCGTAATTGACCAAACTATAAATGTATAAAATAGAAAATATTTATATCGTAAAAAACATTAAAATTTAATTAAATTTAATTAAATTGATTATTAACACTGAATTTACCTTTGATTCTAAACTTTCGTCATTGTAACGCAAAGTCCAAGCATTTATATTCGCCGATCTCATGCGCTTATTACTCGCGGTTTCAAGACCTGCAGTCTTCAATTTTTCAACGGATGAAGCAGATACAGCTTTATTACTCTTTGCAGAACCATTTTCTTCCTCGAGGTATTCCGATTCCAAATTACTAACCGATGTCGCAGTATTTAACTATAAAAATAACGCATCATTAAATTTTCAAGATTTTTCTTTTGCAGTTTTAATAACTATTAAATACGAACATTTTCAAATGGTATTTCTGGTGTCCAATCTACGCCAATATCATCTTCAGTGGAAGAATTTGGAGCACTACTATTCGTAGCTAATGGATTGTTCAATTTGAAGCTCTTTTTACCTTTATTCATATCATCTTCAGACCATATTTTTGGTCGTGAAGAATATCGTCGTCTCGATCTTAAAGGTTCCACTTGTTTAATTAAATACGTAACTACATTCCTTTCTTTTAAATAATTGTCCCTTTCGGTTCCATTTCCTGGCTCCACTTCATATACGTCATTCAAACAATTTAAAGTATCCTCTGATATATGTACTCTTCTGAAATTTATATATATATTTTTATCTGTTTTTTTTTAACGTATCTAATCAAATTTTTGCCAAATTTGTTATAAAAGAAGAAATATTGTATATGTGTACTATTCGTAGAATATATTTATAATTTTGTGAAAAATGATAAATTTTACCCTGGTATTCCTCCACTTTCGAGATGATTAGCCAGTGTTACATCATAAGACCAAACATCAAATTGCCATTTTCGAAGACCAAGTACGCCGCACAATACTGAACCACTATGAATCCCTATTCTCATATTTAAATCAACCTAAATGAAATCAATTTTTTTTATATTATATATTTATATAATATTATATTTTTTTAATTTTTCTATCACATATATTATATATTATTACTTATTAAGAAATTATAATTTATATCTAATTAATTTTAGTGGAAGATTTTAAAATTATATGCATATGCAATTAAAATTATTTTTTTAATATATAATAACTTACTGTAAATTTTAAATTGAATGGAAGATTGCTATAAATGAATCTTTAGTTTGTAATTACTGCAGTAATAACTATTAGTAATATATTTTAAATATTTAGAAATATATATATATATATATATTTCTATGTACAAAATAATACAAAATTTAAATACCTTTGTTGTATATCGCACATCTCTTATTGCTTTAATCATATGCAAACCCATTTCCACACAACAATGAGCATGATCATTTCTGGCAATTGGTAATCCACATATACAATAATAACAATCTCCAAGCAACTTAATACGTAAACAATGATTTTCTGCAGAAAGCTTGTCGAAACGAGCGAATAAGTCATTTAATACTTTGACGAGTTCTTGAGCGCTACACTGGCTGGCCAAAGCTTTATAGTAAAAATTAATGCCATAGATTAAATTGTTCAATCAAAAAATTCGTAAAAATACTTCAAAATTGCAATTAGTAACATAAAATTTTTTGCTAATAAAGATTAATATGAAATAAAAACGAATAACTAATATAATTATTTAAAATAAATTATATTCTTATATCAATAACATAATTTTTACCATTTTGATATCTTAGAAACATAGAAATAAAAATATATTTTAAAAACTATTAGTACATATTATATAAATTATGTGAAAAATTAAAAAAAAACAAAAAAAAGTAAAACATCGATATATATAAATATCGATATAGAAAATAATAGATTCTTAAACAATTATATATTATTTATGAATTTATTTAAGAATTTCAATATTATAATTTTTAAAATAGTTAATTTAAATTTTAAAAATAGTAAAATTAGTGCAGTTTACTATCATGAGTGAATAATTACATACCAGTGAAACCTTTGATATCAGCAAAAAGTATGCTAACATTTTCGTAACGATGAATATATATTCTATGAAATTGATTAGGTGTGAAAGAGATCGTTCCACCTCGAGCAGTTTCACGAGCAATATCACGGATCATTTCTTTAGCCACGAAATCTGGTAAAACTATAAAAAAATTAATGAATTATAAAATTTGATTACACATTAAAAAACATTATAGGAAATCATAGATCGCTATAATCAAAATGGTATGATATTAATTAATCAATCGTTTCATTATTCTTCCATATCCAAGCAAGAGTAACTGAATTGTTTATTTTGTTTTATTCCATTGTATGTTACTTATACTTCCTAAATAAATAATCGTCGAAAAATCGATAATACATAAAAGCAAAATACTGCTAGGCTATCGGTAAAACATATCTGGCGCAATCGGGTGAAAGTGTCTAGTGACCCTTTTTGACACTCGGCTGAGCAAGTTACACGCGCTGACGAACCCCATGCTTGCGGCGCAACCCCATGCGTTTTTATAGACTATGTTCGACATGTTCAACATATATATAAATATACTTGAATACGTATCGGAATATTTGCACCAATACGTGATACACGTGTAACACATTTATACTATATACATATATATTGTCTCTAATATCCAATTAATTGTGCAAACAATTACAAAATAACAAGTTTAATTTAAATAATATTCTTTCAGAAAATATCACATTATTTCTATTTAATATAATAAATAATATAAATAATAATATTTCTATATATTGATATTCTAAAATTCGTGAAAAATAATATTCTCTATTATAAATTGCTACATGTTAAAAAATTACTAAAAAATTTAAAAAAATTTAAAATTAAATTGAAAAAAAGCATCATTAATAAGAAGTTTGGCTAATGAATTTGAAAATTCTATCTCACCAGAAAGAAGTAACTTTTCTTGTCGATTGTTCTCATTTTGAGTCCGTTGCCGGGTTTCCATAGATCTGTGTGTTTCAAGAAAAGCCTGTCTCTGTCCTCTGTCTGTCAAATACTTAGTGTACATGCCAGCTAGATTCATTGCAAGATAAAGAAGGACGTTGGTTGTTAGCATACGAACTATGCACGTAATATCATGCAACTGCAATTGCAAAATTAAATATATGTATTTAAAGAAAGCTGCGAAATCAAAAAATATTGCACTAAGAAAAACAAAGATTGATAATCAAGGAATAGAAGAATTAATTTGAAAAAAATAAATCTGAATATAAATCAAGAATTCTTACATATGTTGGATCTCGTAATAAAGTTATTCCCGCCATCACCATGTGAGTTAAAGCTGTCCCATAACCGGCAAGAACACACCATCTCAAAGGTAATGGCAGCATAGCGTACGGCGCGTATACGACAAACAAAATATACCACATAAGACGTTGTTGACTAGAGAAATCTAAACCAGCTCCTATAAAACCTGCAATTAACATGAAGACATTCATACATAAAGTAAAATCATTCTCAATTCGAAACTTATTTGATCAAAGCGTAATGATTATTAATCTTAAATAATGGTAGAGGATCGCCAATCAATAGTAAGCCATGCCTAGATATAAGTTTGTTCCATCACGTCTCTCTCTCTCTCTCTCTCTCTCTCTCTCTCTCTCTCTCTCTCTCTCTCTCTCTCTACGGTTCGCTGAACATTTAAGCAATTCGCTGGACCGCCAACGCACGAGCCAGTGGAGCAAAACTCTATTCGGTAAACGAAGATACAATCTTCCCAAGAGCATATATGTATCTCTATGAATATATATGTATTAGAACATTGCAATACAATGCTATACATGCATCGACTTTTATGTTTAATTATGAAAAAAATCCTCCATTCGCAAAAAAAAAAAGAAATATAATTAAAAGTTATATGTAATATATATCTTTATATCATCACCTTGTGAATTGATCAGTAACCAAGTGAATATGGAAGCCCAATATAAATAATTATTGGAGAAACACCGCCACCAGCCAAGAATGCAAACAACCAAATTTGCCGCCATACAACAGGATGCCCAGGATAAGGATTCGACTAAACCACTACTATTTTTGTCCCTTTTCCATAACCATATCGCCATAAGAATGATCTGACATCATCATTATATGATATGAAATAAAAAATAAAAAACGAAATTCAGAATATACTTCATAAGATCGAAATAATTATTTAAGAATTAATTTACCTTTAGACTAAGATCAACGATATTCAACATAATCAATGATTTCTGCCGTTGACGATTTGAGTAATGCAAATATGACGTCTCTAATTGTTTACTATGGAAGCTATTTGACAGTGATGGACAAAATATTCCCTTGTAAAGCACGCCTTTCTTGAAAACATCTGAAAATATCCAATCCTATTTATAGTCGAAGGTTGTAATATATAGTATAAATTAATAATAATATGGGTGGAATGTTAAATAATTTATCAGATGAATAAGATATAATATAAAATATTGAAAATAATTAATCGAATACTAATAAATCAATATCATTATATAAATAAATATATATATATTATAAATTGTGATTAAAAATTGTGATAAAAAAAATATTTTGTTACAAATTTGTTTTATTAAAAATTTATAAATTATTAGGATAATAGCATTGATTTCTTAAAATATTTAATTTAATCAATAAACATTTTTTATATTTTTAAGAATTTTTATATTTATGCAAAGCAACTATTGTAAAACGGTTATTTTTATTATCTTTTTCATATCTTTTTTTTTATCAAAGAATATTTAATAATTTATAGTAAAAATTTCTGAAAAATTTATGAAGAAATTATTAAATACATATAAGCAAACCTCGTTGTGCTTGAGATTCAGTATCGACAGGTTCCTCAGCAAGAACTACATCCGGGTCGGTAGGAATATCCGCATCTTCAATTGGATCGGTTGTTTCGTTGATGTCTGGAACTTCCGGATCGTTGTTGGACTTCCGGTCTTCCCATGCCGCCAATCCTTCCCTCCCCAGCCGCTCGGAAGTTAGCTTCTTCACAGCCTTGATCCATAATTGTTTCCTCGGGGAAATACTCAACCTATCGACGTTAAAAAATATCACGAATTATTAATTAATTTTCTAAGTAAGCAATATTTTCAACATCTAAAACATTTAAGAAATTGATACACGAATACATACTAAATACATATTAAGTATGTATACTTTTGCACAAAGCAATTAGAAGATCATGTATTTTTTTGAAGTTAATATTTTTAAAACATATTTTATATAAATTTTATTTTAAATTATAAAATATTTAACATATTAATATTTTCATCATTAAAATTATTAAAATACAGTGTCTTGGAAAGTAGATGCGAGACTTCAAAAATTTATAGCATACATCAAAAAGAATAAAAAAGTTAATTTACTAAATATAAAAAATTCAAATATCATTAATGTAGATTATCGCATATTATATTTATATTATTTATTTATATTATGTTTTATATTAACAATCACGCATATTATATTTCACATAACAAATATTGTAATTAATTTTCTCAAGAAAGTTACATGTTAATTTAATTTATTTATACTAATATAATAAATATAATATAAATATAATATATATTTATAATTTTCTGTAAGAACTGATTGTAAAATTAAAATAAAAAAAATATTATTAGAAAATATCATTTCGGAATTATAAAATCTTTTCAAATTTAAGTAATAAAAGAAGTAATATTAAAGTAGTAATATTAACAATATAAAAAATTTTATTAAATTCACTTCTATCTGCATCTTATCGAATAAGTCGTTAAATCAAACAAAGTAAACATAATGCGCTTTAACATTACGTTGTACCGATGTTATTCAGCAGTAATAACAAAAAATATATAAATATACTACTTTGTTATTTTATTATATTATTATAACAAACAGTTAATTTATTTTTATTTTATTTAATAATAGTTCATATATTGCGAAATGGCTGATTCTTTTTTATACAAATATTACATTTATATTACAATATTATATTTTTATTATAAATTATTACATACAATTTATAATTTTCTTAAAGTTTCTCATCAACTTTCTAAAACACATTATATATAAAAATTTATAATAAAAAAATAAATTGATTATATAAAAAAAAATAATGATTAATAAAAATGATATTTTATATATACGTTATAATTATTAATATCTAAAATTTAACTAATAGAATAAAAAGTTCTATTTACATATTTTACAAAATTTAAATATAAATATAAAAATTTGTGAATATGAATTTTTCATAACTTATGAACTATTGGATAATTCACAAAGTGTTCACAATCCCCTAATTATTTTGAGCCTTATATAAATAAAATAGTTGCAAAACACTTTTATGCAGGTCACGATAAATAGGTAACAATTTTTATTGTTAAAAATTTTTAACACGATCATCAATATTATATTCAATAGATTTTTAGATTATATAATATTATTTGTGTATTGACAAATAATTCTAATATCTGTTCTTTCTAGGAATTCTATTTTATAATGAAACAATAAATGAAATCAATTTACGAAATGAAACAATAAGTTTATTGTTAATGATTAATGGAAAATAATAAAAAAAATTCATTATTAATAAATAATGAATTTGATGAACGAAATAAATTAAATTTTTTCTCTATTTTATTTGAAATAATTCTATATTTCTTCTCTATTGCAATATTTTCTAAATAAAAAACAATTGTTTTTAATTATATTTATGTAAAATGTGCAATTAATATCAGATATCCTTTATGTGTTATAAATAATAGAATCTCGTACATGCATCTTCAATTTAAAATATAAAAAGAACATATGTAAAACGAAAAAATTAATAAAAAAATTATTGATAAAAATGAATAAAAAAATAAAAATGATTATCTTAATATTATTAAATCAAAGATAGTATTACAATAAATTAAAAAAATCATAAGAAATTACGTAATCTTCTTTTTATAAATAAAAAATTCTTAATTATCTTCGATTTCTTTTAATTATCTTCAATTTCTAATTATCTCCAATTTTTTATTAAAATATTTGATTTTAATAAAATTCTCGATGAAACTTAAAATGCTTTAAAATTATAAAATATAATATATTAAACAAAAAAAAATTAAAAATTAAAAAAATATACATAATAGAATATATATAATAGATAATTCAATTATTTTCATTTATAAATAAGAATGGGAAAATTCTTAAAAACGATTTTTGCACAAAAAATTCCATAAAAACATATTTAGACTAACATTCACACGTTGGAAAATGTTTTATGAACTCGAAAAATAGTGTTCGCGCAAAATACATATAAACGATACATCATAATTAGTGCACACGTATTTTTAAATGCGTAGCACTATCGATCCAGATACATTTCTTACACGTATATTGTGATCTATCATCCCAGATATCATTAAAGCCACTGCATACAAAGAAACGAAGAAAAAAAAAAGGAAAAAAGAAAACAGAGCATAGTGTCCATTGTGAACAGTATCAAGTGTGTGCATGTGTAAGCACGTCGAGAGGTGTGTTACACTATTTGGAAGAACACAAAAAAATCTTGTTCGATACACCTGCAAAATATGAAACTTACCGAACAGTGTTATTGTGTTAATGATGTGTCGCATTAAACAAAGAAACAATTGAGTTTTCCTTGCGTGGTACAATTATGTACTTACTATCATTTTTTTCATCGCGTGTAAAAAAAATAAAAGAAAAGTGGTGGAAAAAATAAATACTTACTCATTGATGCCCGCGACATCACTGTCCAGCATCATGCTCCAGGTCTGTTCTGTAATCATTATCCCCCGGATGATCCGCGAAACGAACAACTGCTCACGTTGTGATTGTCAGCTGTGCAATTGCCTTAGTATCCGGCATTTTCACACACCTTAAACCAGAACTTGTTAAAAAAGAAAGCCAATTTCTCTAATGACCCGCCCTGGTTCAAACTTTTTCTCTTTACCGCACCAACAGAACAATTTTTATTTTATCAAATTGTAAATTGTATATCAGGAAGTTTCATCTTTGACTTGTTTGTTTAATTTGATTTATTTTTTTTCTCTTAATGATCAAAACGTTGATATGAAGTTATTTTAGAATTATAATCTTTCTTTTACATTCGAACTAATCAAGTTCGATCGCGCCAACTTTCCAGAAGACGTATCCGGAAACAAAAAATATCTGTCTATATTAATGTACAATCAAAATTTCATTTTCCTACTAGTTTCATTTAGTATTTTCATTCTAGTATTTTTATTGTACATATCTTTTATTCTAATCAAATATACAGTACTGCAATAATCAAGTGTTTTCTCTTCTATTTTGCAATATCGTGGAATATATTATTGTTATTATTATTGTAATTCTTATTAAATTAAATAATTATTCATATAAAAATTTAAAAAAAAAAAATAATATTATATATCATAATAATAGATCTTCCTCGGTCTTCGTGAAAAATGATTACATTATTACATCACAGCAATGAAACTTATTTTTATACTTAATGAATAGATATTCCAAAAATTATTAAAAAATATTTTTAAAATATTCATCAAGTTGAAATAAATTAATTACTAATGTTTTTAAACATTTTTATCGATTGTGATTAAATTTGAAAACCGTTATACAATTTTGAAAAATGAAATAATTCAATCATGGATAAAAGATTTACGAATACCGACGAGATTATTAAAAAGCAAGTAAGAAGAGAGAACGCTGAAATGGTAAAAAAAATGGAATAATTTTGATGAATGAAATGTTTTGAATTTTGTTTTTACGTTACCTGTCGTCTCCCGTCTACAGTTGATAAAAATAAACAAGTAATTCTATACGATTGCTTCGATCCAGCATCAAAATTACTAACGAGTGACAAATGTCGAAAATCGCGAGAGTGCATTCGCTAACAATAAAACCCGCGCTTCTATGAGCGAAATCGGTTACCGAGTCAGTACCAGAACTTCAAACGAGTGAATATAACGTAAACTTGTCACCGCGCGATGGCTCTCTTGACGTCAAATACTTGCTTCACCCCCTCTAGCGTACAATAAAAAAGAAGGGATATTTGAGAAATGTAATAAATAATAATAAACAATATAAAACTATATTCTTAAAAATTATATAGATTAGAATTTTTAATTTATTATATAATATAATAACGTAGAAAAAAAATTTATTTTCTATTAAATTTTCTATAAAATTTATGTAAAAAATATTAGTTTTAAAAATTGATTTATAAGATTTTATATATCAATAAAAATATTTTTATAAACATGAATATAAATATTTTCATATTGCAAATTTATTAAAATTGAATAAATAAAAATAAATGAAATTGAATAATTGAAATCATCAACATATAATAAACATAATGATCGATGATCATTGGTATAACGCGTATAATACTAATATTTTCTAATACATATGATTTATAATCCAAATATATATTTAATATAAGTGCAATTTATTCATCATACCGATCAATAAACACAGCACACATAGGAAAATGTCTTACATTTTTGAATATATATGTCATGGTTTTGAATATATATTAAAATACAGATATACATAAAATACATATATTTATAATTATTTATATATTTAGTATAATATATATTTAGTATAATTTATTTAGAATTTTAAAATATATTGCTTTTAACATATATATGTAAATACTGATGATAATGCATGCTACGAATAATAAATTTTTATTCTTAGAAATAAAAAATGCTATCTTCGCATGTTTTCATAGTAATCAAAATTTAATATTAATATTTAAAATTTTCGTTTAAAATTTATAATTTTATATCAGAAAATATAATTGGTAATTTCTTGAATTTTTGAAATGTTGTGATATAAACTAGAATTAAAAAAAAATAATAAAAATTATAAACTAATTGTATAAAATTAACAATTATAGACTATATTTTCATAATTAAAATTATATTTTTTCAAATTTTGGAATTTAATATTTTTAAAGTAATATTTACAACATTTCTTAAAAATTTATAACTTTTTTCAAAATTATCTCTTAAACATATAAATTTATAATATAGACAAGATATAGATAAGAAAAACTAAATAGGGACAGAAAGATAAAGTAAAAATTAAAATAACAGCGCCATCTCATTGTCACAAATGAAACTAAATCAAATAAGCAAATGATAAGGAAAGAAATAGAATAAGAATTGACTATCAGTGCTATCTCTTCAATTTCACCAAAAGATATCTAAAAAAATTTTTAAATTACTTTTCTAAAAATATTCAAAAGATGGCATAAACTGTCAATTTTTATTCTATCTTATCTTATTTTTGGCTTTATCTACTAAGCAGGTTTTATCTGCTGCTTTGGAAATATTCTTGAAAATTAGAAGATGGCGCTAATAGTTAATTTTTATTTATCTTTATTTCTTCTTATCATTTGTTTTCTTTATTTGATTAATTTTATTTGATATTCTGAAGATGACGTTAATTCCTAAGTTTTCATTCTATCTCTGTCCTTTTTCTATTATTTGTTTTCCTTATCTATATTTATTCTGTAAAATCTCAAAAAATGATTGATATTTGTATTGATATTTGTAATGATTGACATATATATATTAATTAATTAATTAGTCTTTTTAATTAAATTACACACATATATATATATATATATATATGTAAAGATTTTAATATATTTGTAAGAATATTTAAAAAGTTTACATATATTTGTAACATATTTGTAATTTTTGAGGAATTGATTGTAGAAACTAAAATAAATATAAAAATTGATATATAAAAATATTGATTAAAGTTTACTTATTAAGTTATAAATAATTGAAGTTTGCTTTAGACGAAATGAGATGATAATATGGAAAAAAATAATATGGATAACTATTTTATATTATTTTTCCCATTGTTTCTGCCTCACTTCATCTAACAATGAACTTAAATTGTTTATAAATTAAATAAGTTATAAATTAACTAATATTTTTATAAACTAATTTTTGTGTTTCTGATTTTTTATTTTTAGAATCGATTCTTCAAAAATGTCTCACGAATATATTAACATTCCATGTATATAATATGCTTGTATTGAAAATAAATAGCTATCTGTTACATAGTTACGTATAATTAAAAATTACGTAGATTGAAATTCTGTTTTAATTATTCAATATATGTATATTAGTGATATTTTAATATTTTCAAAGGAACTTATTTAAAATAACAATTATACTTATGAAAACTTTAATATTTATTGGCACCTTTTATTAAGTTATTATTATCAAAAATAATATTTTACCATAACGTAACATCAAGTTACAATATTGAGTCTTAATATAACAAAATGAAATATTTTTTAACAAAAAGCAGTAAAATTTGAAAAATATATATTATACTTTAATAAAATATTATATATATGTCTAATACTGAAATAAGGAAAGTAATTACCTATGATAAACTAAAAATGTTATTTTTTTTGTATTAATCAAAAACAACTGAAACATATATAATAACACATTATAATAATCTTAAATTATTTTAACAGTTTAAATTACAAATAACAATATTGACAATACGTTATAGTACGAAAAAAGGATCATATAAAACAATGAAAATGTTTATCACATACAGAACACAAAAAATAACTTGTAATCACTCAAAGATATTTTTTATCATTTAATATCCTCATAAAATTATAAATAAGAAAAAATTAATGAAAAAAAGCGCATACCAATGTATTAGAAGAAATGGAATGCTATCTATTTTCGCCAAAATATTTTTGTCTTTTATATGCCACAGCCAATTTGTAATTATATCGCATGTTAATAAGAACTAAACAAGAAAAAAATATTAAAAAATCAAATATCTTAAAAAAATAGAATATACTAACAAAAATATATGAAAAAATATATGAATATATGAAAAAGTATGTGTTCAATTATTCTGCAACATAAAGAAATTATTCAAAAATTAAATATAGTCTTAGTCACAAATCTAAGAATACATACATATCATTTTTAAAAGTTAGATTAATAAATTATTATTTTTGAAAAAATAAAGAACTGTAATTCTTAAAGGATATTATAGATATAGATATAGATAATATGTATATACATACACATTTGTTTGGTGCATGTTTATACATTCATATTACTATTATTTTTATTGTTTTTTTTTTTTATGAATTATCAATGTCTAAGTATTTTGCAAATACTATTAAATAAAAATATTACTTTTATATACAAACAACTATGTTCTCAAACGTAAAACTGTACAAAGTTTGTTTAGCATAAATATAGGAAACAATTATTAATCTGTAGGTACATATATTGCATACCAAAGATCAGAAACTAGTTAGTTTCACTATGATAATTTTGTTTTTTTCAACTATATCCATGTATGCACACTATGCATGTTTCTTTAATCAATGACTGTAGCTCGACCTTCTTCTACTAAAAGTCGATCAATGTAAATATCTTCAGCTGTATTAACATCTATTAATTTTAAACCCAATATAGTATCAGCAGGAGACAATCCATCGGGTTTGGATTCAACAACTATTGATACGAAATTTTTATCCACAACTAATTCTTGAAATCTTAAACTATCTTCAACAGACCAGTCAACATTAATAGGTCGTATGCCTGTTTTTGTAAATTATTTATAAAATTTACAAAATAAGATATTTTTAGTAATTTGAAAATAAATTAAAATTAAAAAAAAAAGTAATTACATACCAGCAAGTCTCGCTTTAATAGCTTGATATGGTAGTTCTAAAAACTGACTTTTCAAAGGTTGTAATTTATTTAATGGCAGTACTGATACATCTCCAAAATCGCAAAAATAAACACTAACCATATTTTCTTTAATTATACTTGAAATGCATACCCTTAAAAATAATTGAGAATAAATAAAAATGATGTATAAATATTAATAATTCTATATTTAAAATTTAAAATTTGTATTAATAAGTTATTTTTTATTTATACCTATACCAGTGACCATCAATATGTTGGGCTGCATAAAGTTTACCTTCTTTTATTAATTCTAAAGTTGGAGCTGAACCTTTATATGTTTGACAAGCTTCTTGTAATGAAATCATCATTGTCTAAAATATAAATATATTATTATTGATATTATACTATTTCCATATAAGGAATATTAATGACCAATGTATTCTATATAATTATAATAATAAATAAATAAAATAAATAAATAAATAAATAATAAATAAAAAAATAATATTTACTTCTAACAATCGTTTGTCATCAAATGGTTGAATAGTAAAATTTCCAGGATGAGCTGCCATTGTTACATGAACATCGAAATATTCACCAATACCAGAGATTTTTGGTGGTTTTAAAGATTTTACAACTTCATCGTCGTCATCTCTTGCGAGTTTAGAATTTATACGTTCTATACGTTTTCTTGGTTTTACATTATTATTACCATCGCCATGTGTTCTACAAATATAACAAAGTTATTATTTTATTTTTTTTATTAATATTTGTAAGTATTTTTGTATGCTATACTTTGTAAGTTCTTCTTCAAGAGCTAGAGTATTATTTACAGAAACAAGCATGTTACTTGGTTGAATTCTTTTAAATAATTCTACAACTGGTATTCCATTTAGAGATGATACTACTTTTATAAGAAGTGATTCGCCTTTTGGTGCAAGTTCTGCAAGTTTTGCAACCATCTTTTCATTGAACATTGATTTATCAATGTTATGAAGATGTACTTTCAAAGCCTATTATAAATATATTAAAATTTATTTTAATATATTTTTAAATTTTTATCCAATATTCAAATTTAGTTTACCTGAGGAGGATAACTTGCTAAAACTTGAGATAACGTTTCTAAAGAAAGAAGATTATTTTTCGTTGTAGTGACAGTTTTACCAAAATCAATTAAAAATGCACTTAATTGATTGTAAGAATCATCACTTAAAAGCTTTCCTCTGTACCAATTGTTATTTACCGATACAAAGTATGTTTTACTAGAATCAACTGTAGTTACAATACAGTTTTCTAGATCTTCTGAATTTAATCCAGTACAAATTAATCGATTTAATAAACTAACTAAAAGTTTCATACTTTCACATTGTACTTGTACATAAATGTCACCATTCTGTTCTATGTGAGAAATAAATACTTCAGATACTTGCCCTTCCTATGTATAATAAGAAATTATTTCTTATTGAAAATTTAAAAATACTTTTCAAATTGTTATTTAATATTTTATTATTAAATTTAATATTTTATTAAATTTTAATATTTTATTATTAAAATAAAATAAAAATACTTACAATATCTAATTTAGGAGCAACTATTACACTTTGTAAAATTTGTTTAAACAATTCTATATTTAAATTGATATCATCTGGTCCATCTGTGTCATAAAATACAACTGTTGCAGAAGGTTTATTTTGATCTTTGTTGCGACTTAATACTTCCACATAAAAAGCACGATCAAGCAGAAGTTTTTCAGCTTGGTTAACAATGCTATCACAGTCACTGAAGTCTTCCAAACCAGAAAGACACAGTCTTAATGCCTTTAGATAATTTAATACAGTTCCTATATATTCTTGATTATATAATAAAATTTGTAATAAAAAATAATATTCTTACTTGAGCAGGAAGCACACAAAATTTTTTATCCAATATTTGCAATTTACTGTAATGAAAAGTATCCTCATCACCATAATCAATAAATGAAACTGTAACCATTCCATTTGCAACATTATAATCTACACAGCGTACTCTGTGCCATGATTCATCTTCAAATATAACATAATAATTTCCAGTTTCAATAACTAATTGTTTGGTAGATTGTTGAATTTTACTATAATGTTGACTCATTTCAGTGGACATAATATCAAATTGTTCCTATATAGAAATAAAAACTATAAAATATTATAAAATAAAAATTATAGTCAACTTTTGAACTTACACTGTATGCATCTCCTACAATTCTAACCCATATTTCAATAGTACTCATAACGCAAGTAACGGATACAATCCAAAAATCTTCTTCTGGTAATTGCAATTGTCCAGGTGCAATAGGACCAATTGGATTTAATTGTATTTTATCTGTCTTTGATGATATTATATTACGTATCTTGAAAAAAAAATTATGTATTAAATAATAAGTTTATTTCTTTTTTATATACAATAATCTATAATTTATAAAACATATTAATTTACCTTCTCAGGAGACGAAATAAACCGACGTAAAATTACTGAATTATCAACACCTTTTTCTAAAATGATTTCCGGACTCGCTTCAATAGTTTTTTCCCAGTTTCCTGGCAAAATTTCCTCAAATTGTTGTTTATAATACATAGGAATCTGATGCATAAAAATACCATTTGGATGGGCATCTATTATCGATAAAACTCGTCCTTTTATTATATTTTTGTCTTTAGTTTCATTAAAACTAAAAGATAAACCATATTTCTCAGTAAGATCGAGTAAAGCAAATTTTGCTGCAAGTTTTTGTGCTTCATCTTCAGAACGTGCTTCTTCTGGGTAACTTGAATATCCATGAGGACCAATCTAAAAATTTCATTATTTTATATTTGTAATTATTATTTACTTATTTATATTTTTATTATTACTTATTTTTTATTACTTATTTATTTACTGCTGGCATTTTACTTAAATGTAATATTTAATATGTGTAAAAATATTAAAATTATTACAAACCTTAACTTGTGCAAATACAGTTGGTTCTTTAGTATTTTTAATTGTTGTAGGACAAATTTGATACACAGGTTCAGGAAGATTTAAGGCATTAGCTCTCTTTTTCAATTCATTTCTTGGATCAATATGTTGTGGTTTTGGCACATTTTTTTTAATATTATCTAATGCTATCTATAAATATAATTTATTAATATATAACAATTCATTTTTTTCAACTGCTTACTATACAAGTACAAACACTTACAATTGAATTTATTGATGATTGTTGTAATTTTGTTATATTACCATCTGCTAAAACTTGACCAGGTGAAAGAGGTGATAACACTTTAGGTTGATGAGAAGATGTTGAAATATTAGTATGTAAATTCAACAATGAAGGTATATTAGAATTTACTTTGAGTCTGTTACTTAAATTTGATGTTTTTTTAGGAAGCATTTCCAAATTATTATCAGCAGTCTTTGGTTTTTGACTTATCACAGGCGTTATTGCCTTTAAATTATTTTTTATTTGCAACTCATCTCTAGGCTTATTAATAATACTTTGATTTGATGATAAAACAGAATTCATTTGTTTATCTTTCAGTCTCTAAAAATTAAGATATATAAATTTTATTTTTTTTAATGAAATATAAAATAAATATATAATAATTATATAATATCAATTATATGTTACTTACTTTGCTAGGAGAGCTTGGTGGAATTCCACAATTAGATTGTATATATCTAGGTTTCTCATTATTTTGATGAATAGTAATTCTTGTAGACATAGTAGGAAATGATATATTTTGTCTATAAAAAATAAATATATAAACAAATACATAATTTCAAATATCTTTTAAAATTTGACATATGTAAATAAAATTTTAAAAATATAAAACTTTTTTTTATGTAAGATAATAATATTTTGATATTATGATATTATTTATAGTAATAGAATCTGACTTTTAATATAACTTTTAATATATATATTTTGCATTTTAAAATTACCTTCCATTTATTTGTGAATATACATTATTATTGCTACTTTTATTGTGAACATTTTTTTTTGTCATCATAGGTTGACGGAATGGTGTTGGTTTTCGAGTATTTACCTAAAATAATATAATATTTAAAAAAATATAATATAACAAAATAATATAAAATAATATAAATGAATAATAAATTTACCAATTTTTTATATTTTCTAGTCACTGTTTTTTGTCGTGCAATTAACTTTGTAATATGTGCAGATTCTTCACTAGGTATAGCCTCCACAAAACATTCTCCTGCTTTTTCAATAATTCTGACACTTTGTACAGTACGTAAAAAGGCAACTAAGGACTGATATCCTAATTTTCGAAATGGTATATTTTCATCAATGAGCATTTTATAATCTCCTATAAAAGTTTTGCAAAATTAAATTTAACATTTAAAAATATATATAAGAATATATATAATTATAAGAAATATAAATATATATATATAAGAAATTATATAAATGGAATAAAATATAATAATAAAAATATTTCTATTTCTAAAAAAAAAAACTTACTATTTAGGTCTTCCATTTTGACACCACCTTTTGAAGATATAAGACATGCACGTAAATTTTTTATTACTTCTTCTCTTTCCATTATTGCTTCCTTATATATTTAGAAATATTAATAAATGTATAAATTATAGTTACAAAATAATATTCTGAAAACATTTATATAAGATATAAATAATTTAGCATAATTTTTAATGAAATATAATTTAAATAATATTTCTAATAATTACCAATTAAATATTTGTATAATATAATAATTATAATAAATTAATATAATTACTGATTAAATAATCATTAATCATATTTTTCATTCAATATATCTTATATATAAAAAAATATTTATTAAATATTTATTTAATTGGTAATTAGTTTTAAATATATTACCAAAAAAAAATTCATTTATAAAATAAATATAATAATTAAATATATAAAATTTTTATCTAAATAAGTAGAAACATTAAAAAATATTTCTGAATAATGTTTCTATGAAATATTTTTTAAAAAATCTATAATTTTTTAATTTTTTTTATATTTAAATGTAAAAAATTATTCTTTTTAAATTGAAAATGAATTTATAATATATGGCAATTGGATATTTAATTTTTTAATGAAATAAAACAAAATAATATAATAATTTTTTAGAATTTACTTATTTATATACTGTGAAATTGTATCATATTAATATTAAAATGAAACAAATGATTAAAAATACTCAATAATTAATATTTTTCGATTTATAATTATAAACTATTGTAACTCGGACAATGCCGGCAAATGGCGGTCAAATCGGTACTGTAGGAATTGATAAAATACACAATTATACAGAATTACTACACATATGTTAACAAAGCAAATGTTTATCAATTGTTTAAAATAATAAACGATCCTATTTTTGATTTGATATATTCTATAAAAAAAAAAATTTTCACATTCAAATACTTACATTCCATTATCTGTCATAATGAAACAAATTTACATTATAAAATTTTATAATAAAATATTATATATGTATAATATGTATATATTCACTAATATTTTAATTCTTTATATTTAAACTAATATACATTTTATATATATTTAATATTTCAACAATTATAATAATTATAACTACATAAATCGTATAAGAGCAATATCATTGAATTATACACTTTTATAACTAAAATAATTGTAACGAACGATGTAAATATTATAAATGTATATTTTACATAAATAAGTACATTATTACCTTGACGTCATATAAACTGATAAAACCAATTATAGTTCTTTATGACATGTAATGAGTACATACTTACATATATAAAATTATACGTAAAAAAGCAATGGCAACAGCTGTATGTCAAATTATAAGCAAGTAACATATTTTTAATAAATACTAATGTCACATATTAATGAAAAAATAAATTGTAATATATGATAATTTTGATTCTATTAAAACTTCAGAATAATTTGAATAACGATAGAATACTTAGGGAAAAAATTGGGCCACCGTTATATATGTATAAAAATTGAAAATACCTTTTCTTTCTTCAAATATCGCATATATATAATAGATCATAAATTTCTCTTCCAACTGCACTGAACTTCACTACTTCTTGTACAAATGTACCAGTATTTGGCAACAATTCGATAGATTCTAACATTCCCTCTTCTTTATTCTTCGTGAAAACTGATTTCCCAACTCCATTACATCTCCGCAGAGTAACTGTCTAACATACTATTTGTTGAAGTAACACGAACTGCTACATTTGTCCAATCAGACTTGTTCTTAACCCCCTCTATTTCTCAATAATGAACCAATCATCAAACAGAATTAAAAAAGCGGTATATTCAGAAACTTTTAATTTTCTATTATAATTATATCTTTTTAATTATTTATAAATCTATTAAATCTATTATTTATATCACGTATTACATAAATGATAAGTTATTACTAATTTTAGTTGTATAATATTATAATAATAATATATTATATTGAATATCAAAATAATTAAAAAATTTATTTAATTAAATTATTTTAGAAAATTAAATTGTGATATAAATAAGCTATGCATTTTGAATTAATTATGACAATTTTAAAAATTTTATATATTAGAAATATATTGAAAAAAAATTTGAATATTTTGATTTAATTAATAGATCATGAATTGAAATCTGATCTCTCTGTTACTCATTTATAACGTATTTATGTTTTAAATTACTTGAAATATAATACGTTTATTCTATTTAGAAACAATTCTAGATAATCTTTTAATAATATAATTTTCACATTCATGAATTTAATAGAAAATTTATAAAAATTTTAATATTTGTAGAAAAAATATTTCTACAATAATAAAACATAACAAAATATAAATATAGAAAAAATATATAAAATAAATAATATTAGCAAATTTTTTACAAAATATTAAAATTAATTTAAATAAAAAATAAAATTTAATTAAAACAAAATAAAAAGATTTCGCGCATTTGAAACACACAATAAATATAAATATTTTATGACATTTTCAAATATTAAAACAATTAAAAAGAAATTTTAAATTATAATAATTATAATAATTTTTTAATTAATAATTTATAAGCACGTTTACTTTAATAATATTTCTTTATAGAAAATAGAAAGCTGTACATATCAATCAATGCGGTTAAAGTATTGTTTATATATAAAAAAATAAATGCAATTTCAAATTTTTTGACAAATAAAAAAATATATATATGTAATATTATATAATATATTATATAATAATTATATATTAATATATATATTTATAAAAGTTTTAAGCATTTTTAGACAAATATAAATTAAAAGATTCTTTACAATGCATTTAAAAGAAAGCGTGCTATACGGAAAATTCTATAAATTTTCACAAAAACAGATTAATTCTTGAAATAAAACAGATGTCCTTTATTTTTTATAACGTTGACCTGAAATTGGAGAAAGGATACTTTCTCCGTTGTTTGTTCTTTATAATACATAGTAAAAGTCAATAGCTTTAAGAAGTTATTGAAAAACTTTGATTCAATCCTTAAAAAATAATTAAAAATTTAAGATCTTTTACATATCATCATTCAATTTAATGATATAGAATGATTATTTATAGCAAGAATATATTAAGAATCAATGTGTAATGATAAAATTTTCAAAAAAATCTGTATTTACAAAGAATTATTATATGAAGAATTATTATAATTATTATATTTCTATATTATTACATAATTTTATATATAATATACAGTTTTAGCATATTTTTAAAAATAACAAAAACATTAAAATAGACAGAAATAATAAAATAGTAAATACTTATTGAATAATGATCGATTTTATATAAAATGTGAAAGATTTAAAATCAAATCAATCTTACACAGAGCTTATATTTTCTTATAATTATTATAATTTTTTGATAATTTTTAGAATATCGATTTTAATGGTTTTGAAATGTGTTATCAAGATCAAATTTAATTTAATAAATACTAAAATAAAAAGTACAAATTTAAAATTATTATAAATAAACATCTTGACTATAAAAAAATCATTAACAATCAGATATTATATTAAATCTTATCAGAAAAATCAAATAAAATTTAAAAAATATAGATGGATATAAAAAAATATGAGTATAGAAAAATATTGTTCATGTAAACGAATTATTTCAATTGATAATTATATAATACAATATATAATAAAATATTGATTAATTAAATGAATATATAATATTTGAATATATATTTTTAAGAAGTTTAGTTCTTAAACGTAACATCTATTATAGTTCTAAATAGTTATATTATTTTTTGAAATATAATTAATTTTTTGGTTGTAAAAAATGTAGAATCTGTTTACGTATTATCTGAATACGTTTGACAATTAAATACTAATGTTTTTTGAATGGTAATAGAAATCTTTTCAATAATTTTTTTTTACGATTAAACAGTCTGATGTATAAATGAAAAGAATTCAACTGATCGAAGATCAGCAGTCCTGATTTTTCAATTCTTAATAATTTTGTGATCATTCATAAAAAGAAACAGCTTGCTATTATAGATTGAATTTTTTTTAAAGATTATAAATAAAAATATATAAATTTCCATTTAAAAAAATTAATTTGATCTTAAAATCTTTTTATATTACTATTTCAATAATTAAATTATAATTTATAACATATAATATATCTTTCTACATCTTTTATAAAAACATTTTGAAATTTATTTTGAAGAAACATCACATGATTTTTTTTTTTAATAATAATATACATATGTATAATATTTCAATACAGAATGATCTGTAATCTATAGTATAAAAAAGTTTATGCCTTAAAATAAAACATAATGAAGCTTCGTTTTTTAAGAATATCAAATTTGATCAATTTATCGATTAGCTTCCTTTTTATCTATATTAATAAGCTTGAAATATGTTATAATATTTAATTCAATTTTTTTCTTTACATATACTTAGCAATTTTCAAATTAATTTAGTTATTTTCAGAAAATTTTTGGTATTATACTATTGAATTTTGTTTATATGCGTATATCCATGACAATATGTGTATATATATCAGCTATTTAAAAGTGACAAACTATATGTATATATAATAATATAACAAGTGAGTTTATTCAAGATCTATTTCCTTATAGATTTAAAATCTATTTATATTAAAAATATATTCAGGATATTAATATATTTTGTGGAACAATAAAATAAGATAATAAGATTATAAAAAAAAAACAAAAATTGTTAAATGAAAATTGATTGATTATTAAATTGTCACTTATTTATTAAATTATAAGCAATTAAAATTTAGAATGAAATGAAATTATATTAGAATGAAATCTTTATTATACTATTAACTTGTTCTGTTTTCATTTCTGTTTAATCTAATGAAAATTTAAATTATTTATAATTTAATAAATAAATCTCAATATCAATATTTTTATATATTAATTTTTTATATCTACTTTTTATATTTACTTTTAGAATCAATCTTTCAAAGATACTCCATGAATATATTAATACTCTATATATGTATAAGTAACGGAAAAATTAGCTTCGAAAATTGTAATTTCGGTCGTTCAGAGATCATTTTATATTTTATTTTCGCATTCCATAGATCCAAAGAATCCATGGAATGCTCAAGCTCGTTGAATGAATGAATACTAAACGTGCTGATATTTGTTCACCCGTTATATCGTGTTTATATCAACAGTTGAAACTTGTGATCACAATTGTTATGCATACTAAATACATATAGGCAGAATTCAATGATAATAATACTAAATGTTTTTTGCAAATAATTCAAAAACTAAGACCAATTGTCGATTATATAAAAAAAATTATTCAAAATGATATCTTTTACAACATATTTCTATTATTATTAAAATAATGAGCTTATTGATAATTCATCCAAATTTGAAAATAAGATGAATTTGCAATTCATTTACAATATTTCTCAAAATATTTTTAAACATAAAAATTACCGTTTTCTTTTTTTTTCTTATAAATTAATAAATATTGTCCATATTATAAATATTGTCCATCCATTCATAAATTAGGTAAGAAAATAGAAAAATTTAGCAGCGCTATGTCACGAATAAATACTTCAATTTATTAATACAAGTAGAAAACGTAGTAAGAGATTTTTGGAATCACAAACAAAAAAAAAATAATATTGCGCGAAACGAAGACGTTTCTTCACTCTTTCATCCCTCAAATTTCAAGTTAATTGGTGATCGATTGAATTCTAGAATATATTTATATATATTTTTATATTGTATTTTATATTTCGTATATATTTTCATTTAATTAATATACAAAAGTATAAAGCAAATAAAAATATATAAAAAATATATTAAATTTCTTAATATATGTACACATATCTCATGTATGTATTCAAAAGATGTCTGTTGTTCGTAATAAAATAGAACAGAAGATTTTTTTTAAAAAACTTTTTTATAAAAAGATAATAAAAAATAAAAAAATAAAATTTTTTCATTTCAAATGTCGTTTAACTAATTTCCAATTGAATAATAATAATATAATAATAATAATAAATAAGCTATTTATAGATAATTACTTTATATGTAAAAATAAAATAAAATCGTTTAAATTTTTTTATGAGAAAATTGAGATTAAACATATATAGTCGTATAATCGAATTTTAAAATTCCATTTTTTCGAAAACTAATTTTTAACTGATTGTTCCTGTTCCTTAATTTTAATTAATTCATAATTAGTACATATGAGTGAATTATTAATAGAAATTTATTCTATGTATAAAAATAAATAATAAATATGAAATAAAATTTTTTCAAGATTAGTTTTCGAAGAAATTAAATTTAAAAATTCATCATGTACATAAATATTTTACTGCTCAATTTTAATTTTTTTAAACTATAACTTGAAAAAAAAATTTTGTTCTATATTTATTAGTTATTTAAAGTTTTCACATAATAAAATAATCTACTAATAATTTCTTTGTATTCGGGAATTAGTTATATTTCATTTTATTCATCATATTTATTTAACATATTTTTTTTTTTTTCATATAAGTTCATTTTTCCTATTATATTTTCATTCTATACAAAGTGCTAATTCAATTGCATATTTGAAAGATCAATTCGAGATCAAAACAAATATAAAAATTATACAAAAATATCAATTAAGATTTATTTATTAAATTATAAG